TCTATAAAAATGCTATTGTAAATATTATATATTCATTAAGCAACATAAACATATTATTTTTAGTCAAGATAAAACACTAAATCACAACTAATATAACTTGTTTCAGATCATATATGCAATGCAAATAAATGAAAGTTAATCTAAAGTATACACATGGATTTGATATCATAATCAACTACGAAATGCAATAAAAAAGTGTTTAGTTTCTTTTTCAATGATAGATTGATTTAATTAGAGCATATCTTTTCGTGTGGATTAAATAAATGTGGTGTTATAATAAAAGTAATTAGTAAAATAATTATATTTATCCAAACACGAGGAATTTTCTGCAGTAATAGTAATGGTCATGTGGATAAGAAGGAATTTTAAGGTAAATAGTAATTTGTAAGGATGATACACGTTTAAGACCATCATCGACTTTCTGTGTTGATAAAAACATTGAACATTTATTGTCTTCTGTGCATTCCAAAATAATAGGTGTAGATTATATGATTGGGGGTCAGGGTGATTATCGTAATCAGTGGTTACAGACTTTGAGTGACGTGGCTCAAGTCGTTTGTAGTGGCTCAGATGCATCCATTCATTGTCTTCGCTCCGAATTCTAAGCATCTAAATTCCTCACATTTCTTTTTGTTTGTATTTCACTAACTTATGTTTTCCAGAATCTTATCTTCGATGCCTGATCTTTTCTATTACCACTAATATTATTAATACTTCTAATAATTTAGGATTTTGGTTCCATAATTTCATCTCGCTGTGCTAGTGGGGTACAACAGCTTGGATCGAAGTACATAAGTAACAGGTTCGGCATTGTGACTGACCGACTGTGCTTTCCAAACGCCAATTTAATGTTCAGATGCTTAGTGATGAACGGAATTATTAAAAATTGTTAACATGAAGTATTCTATCTACAAATTTTAAGTTGAGAAAATTGTTTGGAAAGTTAAAGAAATTAAATGGTATAACTTTTAAGGTGTGTTTCGGCATAATGGAGATAAAGACGGAACAAATGTGCATTTGCAACAGAAAGGAAATATTTTGAAGGAGTGTTTAGGTTGATGCAAATCAAAATATTTTATAAACTAGCATTCATATGACCTCAGTTTGCAGTTTTATTAGATAAATTATATATTTCTAATCAACTAAAATAACATATGTAAACACATCTAAGGTCCATTTTTATTGGTCGTTTAACCCTATTATTGCTGTTTAGGACTGCAGTTGATCATATTTTTGAATATGTGGATTCTGAGTGGATTATTTTGATATTGCCATTAGGTCACAAGCATATTAAGTAGAGTTGAATAGTAGCTAGTAGTGGAATCAAGGATGCACGTTTTTCCCCATTTGAGGCTCATCAGCTATATGTACCTGCATCTTATAGCAGCTAGCGGACCAGTGGCTATCTGGACTCAGCAACTATGGGGATGACACAATGGTGTCTGGAGTTATCTATTTATTTATTTCAACACATAAATATCGGTACAAAGGGGCACCGAATACATATGCACCACACAAGCCACTTGATTTATGTGTGGGCTGTGATATTGCACGGGTGCCCAGACCGACACAGATGGTTTTCTCAAGGGGCCACACCCCGAGCCTTCGACCTAGAGGTCTGATCCACAAGGTAGTGGAACAACATCAGGAGATGCAGTCCTATGGTTGCTGGTGACCAATAATTGGTTCATACGCCATTTGTTCCACCAGGATCGTGGGGCCCATGTGCACCAATGGTTTGGAATCAGGGTTTTCCAACTCCCCTAGGTGGACTCTCCATGTCCACCAACACAGTTAAAGTGCTTTTCGTCCTCTCAATTTCGGTAAACAACACTCCCGCCACGAGAAGGCAGTGAGTAGGACTTCCCTGGCAGAGGCTATATACGCGTGGCCATGTGAGAGCATTTCGAGAGGGAGAGATGACTCTCCCCACCTTCGGCCGTATCAGGGCGTTTAGGTGACTGCATGTACATTCAGCTGACAAGTCCCAAATACGATGAAACGCATGTCTCGAATTTCATTTCTAATCCCCATCCAATTCCGCATAAAATACTTAAGATCATTTGGAAGACTCTAAATTTTAATATATAAGCTATTAGGAAGAGAATGAGTGAGGAAAAGTATAAATAAGTAGTGGAAAAGTGAAATAAAATTTACTAAATACATTTAATCTAAGCAAACATCACAACAGAAACAATATAAACTGATAAACAAAAAACTAGCTATCAATAAACATGTAGTAAGGTAGGAACGATGATATGATATGATATTGTGTTGTAAATATTTAGAAAGACATGCAAATGAAGAATAAATAAGCAGTGAATGAATATAAATACAAATGAAAGTGTATATGGAAGAAAAAGTACAACACTGTACATAAAACTGGTTTTGAGAGATATTTTATATGCATATGATGACACCTGTCCGTCAGCCTTAACCTAAGTAAATCAAACGGGGTTCGAAACCAAGACGAAATGTTTGGAAATCTTATGTTCAAACAGCTAATTCACCAATTCGATTAATGATTTAGCTTTATTAATATGAAAGTCAGGATTATATATCTGATGTGAAGTCATTTAGTTATACACAATGTATTATTTCATTTGTTCACATTTTCAAATACTTCACATAACCTATCTAACCAATATGTTCACAACAAAACGTTGAATTGGTCAGATAATTAATTTTTCAATGTAAGATAATTGTCGAATAGTGTGCGCAATAAAAGGTTAAATTATTACAATACATATTTCGATACAATTAAATGAAACCATCTTTTAAATCTGGCAATAAACACTCATAAACACACATATATATATATATTTCTATGTGTAAGCATGCAAGCGTACATAAATGTGTGTATGCATTACCACCCACCTATGTAGTTCAAGGGAAAATCAGTCTAGCTTTAAGAAACAAAATGAAAACAGTACATGACTGAATTTTGATAGGTGACAAGCATTTTAAGCTCAGCTTTAGCAAAAAATAAAATCGAAATATACACGGGGTACATAAGAATATACACCGTAAAAGTAGGCCAAGTTTCAAAATATTCATTCATTTATAGTAATAATGAAATAGAAATAGGTCTTCTACGGTAAAATAGAAGAGATGTAGTAGGAAAATTCGAGTCAGTTACCTTTGTTCATTTCGCATGTAGCCTAACTTATACACACACACACACAATGATATAGGAAGGAACAAACCTTAAGGATTTAGCTTTAGAGATTGCACGGTAAGAAAATGATTTATGTAATTCGATTAGTTCTTTTTGAAGTAATCCAAGGACTTAGACTCTGACAAAAATGATGAAATTATGACGCTGTACATATATTTGGATTTTTCGGTATTGGTTATATTACATACAACGCTTGGATTTAAGCTTGTATACAATCGCTCTAGTTTCTGTCTTGGGATATAAATTGTAACTCAATATATTCTTGTTTTCAATTTGATTGGTTAACAAGTTATAGATAATAAGGAATACAATACACACAGACAATACAGTGATCTTGAGTGCTGTTGGATGTATGAATGAGGTTATCAGTTCCCGGTTGCCTACACCGTGAAGGGTCTTTCTAGAAGTACCTGAAAAGGGAATCGGGTTGGAATTGGTCTTAGTGACCTGGGGAGCGTGTCCGAGGCCCATCACACATGACCTTCTTGTGAGTAGTTTGTGTGTTAGCCCCGTAATTGTCCAAATCTTATCGCCGGAGACGGATATTCGTGGGATAAGGCGAGGGGTGCATTTCTAGGGTCGACCTTTCGTAACCCCACTCTTTCCTGTGGGGAGGCAGCATTGCTGTTACGCTGGCTGTCTAAGGGAAAGACCTAACTGCCGTCACACCTCTGTACAGTCAGCAGTACGACTTTACCCTCGAACCTTGGGTTTGCTGCTTTTAGTCTTACCGCTCTTCAACAGATCTGTCCGATATGGTAGGACCTTGGGGAACGATTGTTCCAGCCAGTATAGCCCGATTGGTTCATCGCGATAGGCAGTCTGACTACCACGTCAAGGTAGCAGCAACGGTCGGGACAACACGCACACAGTTGATATGTCTAAAACTCTATGAAGAAACTGGTCAGGTGTTTTATTACCATAATCATTATTCGATAAACTAAATATGTATAAGTAATCCAAACGTTAGGAAGTGTACAGTCCCTAAAGTATTAATCCAACATTGATGATTGTCCGTTCAAAATAGCAGCGTTCAACTTTAACCATACAAAATCTATTCAAATTATGTGAGTCATTAAAGAGGTACGTTCAGTATTATCAATTAATAGGTTCAACCATACAAGTTGGAGTTTACGCAATAAATGAGCACAAATGAAACTATAAAAAACTGGAACTTAATGATAAAAACATCTAAAAAATATTAGATGTCTGATAGATCAAAATACACAAACCAGAAGATTATGTTTACTTATTACTAAATGTTTCTTAAAGATTTTATAACTTTTTAATATGAATCATAGTTTCATTTAACAAAACAGCAAATTAAACAGTAACACATATTCAATTGTCAATGTTTTTTGTAACTCTTTCTTTCGTCTATATATTGCAAAACACACCATCACTTCCTAATTACCAAGATAGAATAAATTACTAGTTATACTTTCTTTCTTCAACTCAGGCTGAACATTTTCCATATAACTTGATGTGCAGCGATATAAGCAGCCAAATTTCTTGTGCTTGAGGCAAAAACGTTACCAGTTCTCATGAATTTATTAAATGGGTGATATACGCGGGCTGAATAGCCAGACGTGTTGTAAACACGTCTGAATGTTCGGAATATACAACTGAGTATTCTGAACGTGAACATTGAGAAGTTTGTGGAAATCATGACTGCGATGCGCCGGTATGAATATGAATCTGTAGTGAATTCAAGATCCTTCATTGACTTAAACATTTTTATGTACATAAATTGATAAGCATCAATAAGGATGTAGATATATTGAGAAATACCAATTACACATTTATTACAAAAGAAATTTACCTGTCGTATATCGGTTACAGAATAGGCATGACCAAGAATTAATCCTAACGGACCATTCGCTTCAATCTCATGTGGATCAGCATCAATACTACAAGCCATTAAAGTGGCACGATTCAATGCATGTTCCATAATGGCGAATATATTAGTAGGAGCTTTCGCACCTAAATCAACAAGTTCTGTAAGACCACCAGTGAAATCTTCCATTGCTTCTGCTGTACACCCACCACGAAGCGCATCATAAGACGACACAAGTCTTAACAGGATAAAAAGCAACGAAAGCTCAGTATCACATCAGAAAGTTAAGGAATAAGTACAAAATCATGTGAATCCTTTATTAATGTAAAATCTACCAAATCATAGTCAGTAGAATTGGAGGACTCATCCGTAAACAGTTTGCCAATCGAAAAAGGTAGTTAGTCAAAACTCCGATTCAAAAGATTTAGTAACAGGTTAAATGGAGTTTTCTTATTTGAATCTCTTCCTCGTCAGATAGACAATATCAACATAGAGCCTGGCACAAATGTTTCACCCAAGTTGCCATACCACATTAACACGGAAAGATGAAAACAATAAGCAATCGCAATAAAGTAGCCGCATTAGTGAGAAGACAGACTAATCATTGGGAATGTGGAAAGGTATGGATGAAAGGAAACTGAAAGTTCAGATTGAGGGGAAGATAAAGAGTTAGTGTATCTGCACCATTGAGTACGACTCTTAGCTATATCCCCTAATCATTGACAATGGTTATCAAGCAGACCTTAACCAGGTAGTTTAAGTCTACCTACACGGCTCAGACCAAGAGTAAATGACTTTATGGGATGATGTCAACTTTTGATTCGGCTGTCCCCAGCTTTCTTCCAACCTACTTGTGAACTGGCGAGCATTGTTCATAGAGGTAAGCGGTGGTTAGGCAAACAGTGCATGTTCTAATCACCTAAATCGATAAAAATTCACTACCTTATAAACCGATTTGTTACCCTTTTTGTTATCTCTGTTCCTGTTAGTAACTTCTATTTTTTACATCACATTTGCAAATAGTGCTGACGATTCGAGCCTACAAAGTTCTATGTCTGGTCTACAAATCTAACTACACGAGGGAGTACATACTATTCGAACCACATATTTAAATGGGATACAAATGTCCTTTATCAAGATTTCAGAACCCAGTGGAATGAGTGGGTTTATGCAGTCTATGAAGCATGTATACGAAACCTAAAACGCGACCATCCTACTTGAACCTATTTATTTAGTGTGAAGTGCCAAATCGATTCAGCTTCCAGTTATCTGGCATCTTAAAACTTCATAGTTTTATAGGTATAAATATAACATCAATTTCATACATGTGCTTTTTGTACTGAGCTCAAGTAGATATTCACTTGTAAGTTAATCGGTTGAACTGAATTGTGAAGGACTCAGAAAAGCAGGAGGACATACACTACTGTCTTTTGATAGCCTTTATCTACATGTTTCCACTGAATACCATTCAAATAAAATTTTAAAAAATGAAATCTGCAAAAACCTTTCCGGACTAATCATTATAAAGAACAATCAATATAATAATAATGCCATTATTATAATGACTGACTTAGCATAGGCTTTCTCTAATAAAGCTGACCAAAATTCATTAGGATCTGCGGAATGCATAAATACTAAATGTCCATTACGAGTTGGTAAACGATCATCCACAACAACATCGTACCAATCACCGAATTGCCAGAATCGAAACCAAAACATTCCAACATATGGATATTTTGATGATTTTTCAAATGATTGATCAGGTGGGACAACCTTCAAGTGCATTTTTTATTTTTTTTTTGGAGAGGAAAAATAAACATTTTAATTGTTTTAAAAGAATAATTCAATTTAATGTAATGTAAAAATCTGTGTGGTATTGAATATATGAATTAGTTTCATAAATCAACGTACGTGTACGAAATCCTGACGTGCTCATGTCTGACAGACTTTAAGTCAGATGTATAAATCTGTACATCACAACCACAGTTTATAAACAAATAACTCAATAATTGATTAAAACAACTCAGAAATTAGGAAAACAATCAAATAGCGTCATCTTTTTATTGTTTATCTGACTATCGCTTTGTCTGAATAAAAAACGGTGTTACCATGTGTATATTTTTGAGTATTCCTACGTCACAACCCTCAAAATGTGTACTGTTTGAGTTGACAATATCCATTGACTATTTCATTATTGTTGTTTTCAAAGGATTACTTAGATTCAGTGAGGACATTTAAGAAATAATGAAGTCTGGCTACGTGTGTGAAATTGATGATTTATTATCTTAATTTATAAGTTTTAGTGCTTCGGATATATTTTACTTATGCCATATAGCGATTTCCAAACTATGGATTGTTTTTGGTATAGTGAGATTTGTAGAGGTTGAAGGATTTTCAAATCAAAAACTGATATGTGATTGCTCAGCAGTGTCTGACCCCGACCCCATCACAAGGGATCGAATCCAAGACTGATTTCCAGAGCAAACGAGTAAATTCTGGGTCACTGAACTAGCACCTAATGGTGTAACTGTTTAACTTCAATCAATTCAGAATAATGAGTAACCATCTTCCATTACTTGTAGTGAATAACTGTCTAACATCTAATATTCATGTTGAGACTGAATGGGAAAAGGACGGATAAGATTAGCTTGTTATGTGGAGTAGTCGACTATATGATAATTGAGTTGGATTATGATTGGTTTTATTGTCACAACTAATTGGATGGAATCTTAAAGTTGGTACAAGCTAGTGTCATGCAGTCTTATCAGATGTGGTTCAGAATAAGACCCGATAATGATCCGGCTTTAAGATTTCTATTGCCATTTTACAAAAATAATAAAATGGACGTTGCAAATGAATGGAATGAGTGTTAATTTTATTCTTAATGAAACTGTATGCTGTAATTTTTACTAAATGTCTATTCTTTTATTTTCATTGAATGACTTTCTCACTTCTCATTCTTGACAATATTCTTATTTTCCATTATGTATGTGTGTTTAGCGCATTTATTGGTACCTTTGTTATATTATTGTCAAGAACGTTTTTCATTGGTTGAGATCATGAGTCGAACACTGGACCTATCGGTCTCGCGCGAGAACGCTTAACCTCTAGATCACTAAGCTGGAATCCAACTGTGTTAATGTCTAGCTTCAACCAATCCAAGAAATTGCGCCACCGTTCACCATTTTCTTCAATGAATTATTATCTCACAACAGAACTTTCACGAGCGGGATAGTGGATGCGCACTACTGAAGAGTCCCATACTACGACGAAACGGCCATCCAGTGCTTCCAGGTTTTCCATGATGATCTAGCTTTAATTGACTCATGAATTCAACTATGAAATTATCAAAATTTCTACAAAACTCCCTTCTGATTTTAAAGTATATTTAGAAAAAAAGTCAACTGATCAGGGTGTTTACATCTTTTAAAATGTATTTGGTAACCATTAATCCTATCAGTAAATTGTTGATTCGACCAGTCTAGCCATTTCAATTATTTTTTTTGTCAAATCAATTGGATAATTATAACTTAGATGATTCTATTTAATAAAACTGATCACTTTCAATGTAACTCTATTTCATCGATCCTTCAAAAATAATCAAAACAAAAGACTTGCATAATTTGATTATGGATATTTCATTATTTCAAGAAAGTTGATTATCAGTGTGCAATTATGTAAAAAAAAATTATTGAAATGAATATAGTTAAAGCATTTTGGAAATTTTGAGATGTATGTATTGCAAAAAATCAAGAAAGAATAAACGTCATATTTGATTGGCTCTTGAAATTATAATTACGATAATGATATCATTTTAAACATAGAAAGATTAGAGTTATTTACATCTAGAAATTGGCTTCTAGGCATAAAGCATATATCGGTGTATTAGTGTGAAATGTATATAACGATTTGAAATAGTTTCAATATCTACAAAAATAGCTTTAGGAAGATCTAGTACAATAACAAACAATAATTATAGTTCTTTGAATCGTAACCGTCATGGACAGTAAAACTCTTAGACTTTCAATATTATAATACCAAATCCTAAATATTACTCTACGACTGGATATGTCTCTATTCCATATGTTTCCCACAAGTTCATTTGATACTTGTGTAAAAGCCGAAAACAAGTGATTGAACTTCACTGTATAACACTATACATTATAGTATTAAAATTATTATCTCTGGGTAAATTAACCGTGGTTAAGCAAATCATAATCTGTTTCACTGAGTGTATCTTTGACTATTATTATTTACTTACTTACTCACTTACGCTTGTTAACCCTCGTGGAGGAGCATAGGCCGCTCACCAGCATTTTCCGTCCAACCCTGTACTGGGAAATCTATTCCAGTTCTTTTCAGTTGCTATTGATCCTTTTCATATATGTTTCCGATTTCCCACGTAGTGTGTTCTTCGGCCTTCTTTTTTCCACTTCCTATCAGGATTTTAAGTTAACGCTTGCCTGGTGATACAGCTTGGTGATTTCCGTAATGTATGTCCTATCCACTTCCAACGTCTTTTCCTAATTTCCTCGTCAGCTGGAACCTGGTTTGTCCTCTCCCACAGTAGGTTGTTGCTGATGGTATCCTACCAACGGATATTGAGTATCTTACGTAGACCACTGTTTATAAATACTTGCACCTTTTTGATGATGGCTGTAGTAGTTCTTCAAGTTTCAGCTCCATACACTAGGACTGTCTTGACGTTCGTATTGAAGATCCTCACTCTAATGTTGGTTAACAGTTGTTTTGAGTTCCATATGTTCTGCTGTAGGAATGTGACCCTTGCTTTGCCAATCCTCGCCTTTACGTCTACATCAGATCCTCCTTATTCATTGATGATGCCGTCCAGGTACCTGAATGATTCTATATCTTTCAGAGCTTCTCCATCAAGTGTGATTGGGTTGGTGCTCTCCGTGTTGTATTTGAGGATCTTGACTATTAATAGGTTAAATAAAATTTAAAAAACAAGATAACCCACACAATAAAAAAGAATTGAGTTCAAGTAAATTATTATTTACTTGATTAAATAATTCTGGATACATTGATAATGAGGCCAAGGCAGCTATAACCCAACAGTTTCCTACAAAAACAAAACAATAATACACAATGATATCACATGATGAACACTACTATTATTACTGATGATCGCACTAATACTAATGCTCTGTCATTTGAATCTGAACGAACCAGTAGATAACGGTGAATCTCCTGGTTTGATTGTTTTCGCCATAAACTATCGGATACAATTGAGTAATTACCAAACTAACTGGCAAAACATATGACTGAAACAAAATTAAGGTTAAACGACTGACAATTAAATGAAACTAATTTTTTCAGAGAAATTTAGGGGTGATGGTTTAATGACGAAGTGACAACAAAACAGTTTACCTTAAGAAGAACATTGAACACAGTCGAAGTTTGATTGAACAGTTTCATACAACAGGAATGTTAACGACATAAGAAAACATTGGTTAGAGCTTCTTCAGGGTAATATTGGAACTATTTAACTCAATTTGTTTGGGGTTTTCAAAACTATTATCTTATTCGTAATAGTGTGGTTATATTTTGCGTTCTTTGACTAACTAATAAGTTACCAATTTGTCTAGTGAACCACTTCTACAATGTTAATTTTAGTGGGTGTAAAACAATCGGAATTTCACCAATCTGGGCATGGGGTTAGCGACCCCGTGCCGTAGAAAACTAACTCTCTGAAAAAAACGCTTACCAGAAAAAATAATTCAAACCATTTTATCTCTACCCTGGGAGTTAGAAGGTCTTCATTTAGAAGAATTATGACGCTTCATGGTGAAAGCCAAGTTCCTTCGGAAGCCACGAGGCCGATGCCCCTTCTAACAACCAGAGCAACAATTTTATAGGTACATGGAACGTCCGAACAATGTGGGAGACCGGGAAGGCCAGTCAAACAGCAACGGAAATGAGGAGATACAACTAGACAGTACTGGGAATCAGAGAAACCCATTGGACCCAAGCTGAACAACAAAGGCTAAATACGGGAGAGATGCTGCTATACTCCGGTCACGAAGAGGAAAATGCTCCACACACTCAGGAAGTTGCTCTAATGCTGTCCAAAGTAGCACGAAATGCACTTGTAGGATGGGAATCTCACGGATCCAGAATCATCAAAGCATCATTCAAAACAAAGATGGAGGGAATCACAATGAACATTATTCAAGGTTATGCACCCACCAATCATAGCAACGACGACATTAAAGATCAATTCTACGAAAGGCTGCAGTCAATCATAGAGAAATGCCCAAGAAACGACCTCACCATTCTGATGGAAGATCTAAATGCCCAAGTTGGAATAGACAACACCGAATATGAAAATAAGATGGGACGACATGGACTGGGTGAGAGAAACAAAAATGGAGAAAGATTTGCAAATCTGTGTGCATTCAACAAATTGGTCATAGGAGGCACAATATTTCCACACAAACGTATACACAAAGCTACATGGATCTCACCGGAACACACCACAGAGAACCAAATAGATCATATTTGCATCAATAAGAAATTCCAAAGGACAATGGAAGATGTGAGAACCAGGAGAGGAGCTGATATAGCTTCAGATCACCACCTAGTTGTGGTCAATTTAAAACTGAAGCTAAAGAAGAACTGGAAAACTGGACAAACAGCATTACAAAGGTTCAATACAGCCTTCCTTCGAGATACTGACAAACCCAACGAATTCAAGATAGCTCTCAACAATAGGTTCCAAGCCTTACAGAATCTACTGAAGGAAGAAGAAACTACTATGGAGGACAACTGGATAGGCATCAAAGAAGCATTAACTTTAACGTGTCAAGAGGTTCTGGGTCTAAAGAAGCATCATCATAAGGAATGGATCTCTACAGAAACACTGGACAAGATCAAAGGAAGAACGAGAAGACAGCAATTAACAACAGCCGAACACGAGCAGAGAAAGTCCAAGCACATGCTGAATACATAGAAGCAAACAAGCAAGTGAAGAAGAGCATTAGATCCGACAAGAAGAAGTACGTGGATGAACTAGCAACGACGGCGGAAAAAGCTGCAAGAGGAAATATGAAACAGCTTTACGATACAACGAAGAAACTATCAGGGAAATACAGTAAACCAGAGAGACCGGTCAAAGAAAAAGAAGGCCAGCCAATCACTGAAATTCAATAACAGCGGAACAGATGAGTAGAATACTTCGAGGAACTCCTGAATAGGCCGGCTCCAAAGCAAGGGCCGCATTCCTACAATTGAAAAACATATGGAACTCAAAACAACGTTCAACCAATATCAAAGTGAGAATCTTCAGTACGAACGTCAAGGCAGTTCTACTGTACGGAGCTAAAACTTGGAGAACTACTAAAACCATCATCAAACATGTACAAGTAATTATAAATAGTTGTCTACGCAGGATATTCAATATCCATTGGCCGGATGCCATCAGCAACAGCCTTCTCTGGGAGAGAACAAACCAGCTTTCAGCTGAAGAAGAAATTAGGAAAAGACGATGGAAATGGATAGGACATACATTACGCAAATCGGCAAACTGCATCACGAGGCAAACCCTAACTTGGAATCCTGAAGGGAAGCGGAAAAGAGGGAGGCCAAAGGACACATTACGTCGGGAAATGGAAGCAGATATTAAAAAGATGAATTACAACTGGAAAGAGCTGGAAAGGATTGCCCAGGACAGGTTTGGATGGAGAATGCTGGTGAGCGGTCTATGCTCCTCCACGAGGAGTAACAGGCGTGAGTAATTAGGTTTTCAAAATCACTTTTTTTCGCTTAAGCCACATGTTAAACCAATGGTGTGTCATGTTTCTTGGAAAAGGAAGGTTCATCTTGTCCAGAATCTGATTAACCCACAGTATCACAGTATTTAATCTTATCACCGACAATTGATTGGTAACCATTTGATTGTCAATTTTAACGTTTCTATATTGGTAGGATCTAGTAATATTTCTTAAGAAATTATTCAGAAGCATATATTAATAAGGTATTGATTTATAAAAAAATCGACCATATTTATAATAATGTAAACTTACCAAGTTCACCTTGTTTAATATCGAAGCGACTAACTCCATCTGCAACAAAACGTGGGCACCTGCTAAGTTCCTGAATAGTGAATAATCAAAGTTCATCTATTGCATAATTCATGCACATGTAATACATATGACCAATAAATTTTTTGTTTTAAAAAAAAGATACATGCATTATTAATACGCAAAAGAAGTTTTCTTGCCCATAATTTTGATATTAAAAAGAAACAACTTAAGAATATTAAAAGAACCCATAAAAATAACTAGAATAAATGAAAATTAGATTTTTTTTTCTTTGATTTCTGAACGATATTTAGTGTGTGAAATCAGTGAAATTATTCACAACTGTAAATGATCACTCTCTCATTGGGAGTCCTGAACATCAATGGCAAGACTCAAATAAACAATACAAAATGAATTTAAACTTCACCCCATTGAAAAAGAAAGTGGCTATCGCGAATCAGTAGCTAAGTGGATAACTCGATGGCTTTTGAAGCGAATGGTACTGGGTTCGAATCTCAGAGTGAACATCAACTCTGGAATCCAGGTACATCTAGCTGACGAGTCTCAAATAAGACGAAACTCGCATTCTGGATTCCACTGCAAACCACTATCCATCTTTATTCATCTGTAACCTTCTAAGTTTATCATATCGTGGTTGTGAATGAACTTTATTGGAATATACAAGCTAAATAGAAATGTTTCAGTCAACGTTTAAGCAAATGCAACTCAGATACACACTATAAAGTTACATAATGCTTTATGAAATCTCTTTCTATTAATATGAATTTTAGAAATATTGTGCACTAATTGTCCAGTTTATAAAATTTTGTGCGGCAGTTCCAAATGAACGAAAGTAACATAAGGTGGAATTGACAGTTCTGTTAAAACTACGACCACAAACTTCTTAGTTAAGTGAGTTCTTTCCGACTTTTTACGAAGAATGCAAAAGAAATTTATGATAAGCGCCAACTGGGAACAGGAGCAACCAAAACAGTTGTTCTTGAAGATATCTGGTCAGTGGCCTGTGCGTCCAGACGGGTAAAAGGCTTAAGTACAGTAAGTAATAAGACTACAGCAGGATTTTCATTGTTTCCTGTCCTGATGTATGTCTGGTAACATCTCAAGCAACAAAGTAAAATTCCAACCAGGGAGTCGTGATGGACCGACAGAAACCAGTCCTATACAACTTTCTTTTATACCACAGTATCATGTCATTAACAGACCACCTCTCTACTTTTTCCACTACATCCCAGCAACAGTAGTATGTGAATGATATGAAAGTCGCTGGAATAACATTCGTAGCACAATTTCAAGGGACTGAAGTTCGTGTTTCAAGGTTACAACACCAGTAGAATTAACGTTGTTACGTCCAAACACATTCACGAACCACAGAATTGGAATTTATGGAGATAACCCTTTGTTCGATCTGTCTCATTAGCCGTCTAATCGATATTCACTATAAGTTTATTAAAAATACTAACATCGATCAGGTTACTTCGTAATATATGAAGGACAAGAGTTAATAATAGAAAACAGACAGTTAGTGAATAATAAAATCAACATAAAGGTGACTTACAACAGGTCTTAGCCATCTGTAATTTTGTTTACTCGATCCAGATTTGATAGTTGAGTCGGTAGCAGGCATAAATGGATCCTCAAATAAACCACCTCGTTCCATTTGACATTTGATTTCTTGTTTAAACCAATCTGCACTGCACTCTAAGGAAGGTGATTTATGTGTGCGTTGTACCAAGACACTAGATCCATTACACTGGCCACGCATGGCACTACGAGGCGTTTCCAAAGGATATTTGCGGCCCATGGTCGGGAAGAATGTGTTCAGGTACTAAATTTCGTGGCAAAAAAAATCATCAAATTGGTAAAAGAAATATGACAAAAATGATCGAGGGATGTAATTCCGTGAGTACAGGGCTTCTGTAGCATAAACAAACTCCCCAAACAGAGCTTATCTGAAGTACCATTAACAAAAGCGACAGTATGAGACGATGGATTCTAACCTGAATCTAGTTATGCTATTAATAATAATTTGACAAATACTATTGGTTTTTTAAATGCCTTGTTTTACCTTCACCTCTTAGAAAACATTTCCAAACTTACCTTTAAATCCAGCTACCATATACTGAAGAATGATTGAACATGCATAGCACATGTTTTAAGCACTTTATATTTACAAACACATTTATTTGAAGATGTTGAAAAATTAGCTTATTTAACTCTTTTGTCATAAACCTACATAACAACAATCCTGTGAAGAGAATTTTCTTTTTGATGTTTATTTTGTCAAACGCGAAAAGTAATTCAGAAGTGTCAGCAACATGCAATTAACACTTATGTGTATTTACAGTTTCAATATGAAGGTAGATATTAAACGTGAAATTAGAAGAGAACACGTTTTCCTAATTATGTCAGCAATTTTCTTATTGAACACAAAGCTTCTTCTGGGACATTTCAACACTAAATATGAAAATGTCAAGTTTATTAAGAAGCATTAAAATGATTATGAGTTTGATTTTTAAGACAAGATTATCCAAAGCAATCGGGATGATGCATTCTAAAGGTAGATTCGTCCAATGTTAAGTGCTAAAGAAGTCCCTACCGGAATGTAGCTCTGTACAAAAGATTACTTTGACAGGTAGTCAGTTAGTCCATTATAATCAACATAGAGCATGGAACAAATGCGCGTCAATCCAAGTCGCCAAACTACATTAACAAAGCCCTCAAATATCCTGGTGGGGAGATATCGCTCTCCTTCACGAAACGCCCTCACATGATCACGCGTATACAACCACTGACAAGAAAGTCCTACTCACTGTCTTCTTGCAGCATTACTGTTGTTCACGAAATTGGGAGGACGATAAGCGAATGTCCGGCGCCTTAACTGGGTTGTTGGACACGGAGGGTCCACCTGGGGGAGTTGAAAAACCCCTATTCCAAACTAATAGTGCACATGGGCTCTAGGATCCTGATGAAACGAATGACGTATGAACCAACTGTTGGTCACCAGGAACCATGAGACTGCATCTCCTGATGTTGCTCCACTGCCTTATGGATCAGACCTTTAGGTCGAAGGCTCGGAAATTGGTCCCCTAAGAAAACCATCTGTTTCGGTCTGGGCGTATGGGCAGTATCCTAGCCCTCACACAAATCGAATGACGAAGTGTGGCGCATATATATTTGGTGCCTGATAGTACCAATGTTCATGCATTAAAATAAATAAATACATTAGAAAGAGCATATATAGATAACAATATAAGTAGTAAATGAATTGAATATAATATAGTAGTGGTGATAATAGGAAAGACTAAATAAAGGGAATATAGTTCGGAAAGACAAGGAATGTTGAAAGTCAAGATTTAGAGAAACATGAAATAGAACCATGTACGTCATTGCGGTTGATTTTGAGTCAGGTTAACCAACCTCTCCAACTATTGACTAAGGTTACTGCGTGAACCTCAACCACGTTGTCCGTACATACCGACGTGACTCAGCTCCGGGATCAATAACTTCGTAGACTAGTGGCACATTTTGGTTACCCCATAGATTTCTCCAAACTTATTCCTACACCTGATAACATTACCCGTTGAAGTAGACGACAAGTAATACGGAAATGAAGAAACAAATTCGAAACTGCATCTTACTCATCTCAATATTGAAGAGTTTTATGACAGGAGCAACCAACAAATAACTAAACAGTAAACTGAATACAATAAAATAATGTGGCGAAATGAATTTCGCTTTATCAAAACTTGAAAATAGACATTATGCCAACCCTAAATCTGTTCATAAAGTAACGTAGCTTGATAAAGGAGTTATGCAAACATAGGAATATTATTATTTGTTCTGGATCTGTCTGAAAATGCATGTCAGATGTAAAACATCATGCAAATGACTTGTATCTTAATGTGGCAATTGATTATCATAACTTCATTCATTGTTGTTAAATGCCGTAATTACATTCCGAATGCGATCTTTATAAGTCATACGTGGTATATAAAGACCACCCACAAAATAACTATATTCAACAAAGATTAATGATAGAAAGTTTTACTTTTACCACTGTTAGTTTCGTGTTAAAGGTAGCTAAGCGTACGTTTTGACTTGATGTTAAAGTTTGTTGAAGTATTCAAATACTGAGGGTCTGTGTTAAATTACAGTTTTTTATTGATTATAATCATTGGTGACTGAGTGAGAATTCTTCAGCCTTACAGAAAAGTCTAATAGCTTGTGACAAGACTGACACTTTGTGTATTAAAACTTGTTGTCATGATTTGGGAATTACTTGATTATTTCGAATTTGCGAGTGACCAAACGACTCTTTTAATAGGAAGTAGAATCTACTCAGATTAAGCAGATCAGCAACTGACACAAGTGACGTTTGAGGACACATGAATATTGGTACAAGAGAGCGCCAATATATATGCGCCACACAAAACAATGAAAATTCGAGAGGAATACAAAGAAAGAAAAAAAAGCTAAGGAGCGCAAAAGAAAAAGAGAACAATAACGAAGAGATTGGTGTAAGGTAGTGTGGTAGTAACGAGGGAACGGAAAGGTACAATCAAAAGAAATCTTTCAGGTAAGGGAGACACAACCACTTTTTATGAAGAAAGTAAAAGAAGGTTACATCAGGATCGCCACTGGCTTCTATTCTGAGCCATATCTGATAACGTCTCTAGCCACTGTGTAGCACCATCTCTCGGACCCCAACCAGGGAGTCGTGAAGGACCAACAGAAGCCAGTCCTTTGCAGCTTTCTTTCATACCACGACACCATGTCATGCACTGACCCCCTCTCCGCTTCTTCCAACCAGTCCCAGAGTCGGCAAATAATGTACGACGTGGAATTCTCTGGGACGACATTCGGAGAACATGTCCAAGCCACCGAAGTCGGTGTTTCAAGATGGTGACACCAATTGAATCATCATCTCTGTGCCCGAACACACGATGCCGAACCTCTGTATTACTGACATGGTGTTGCCACTGAATGTCAGCAATCCTTCGGAGACAGCGATGATCGAACACGGAGAGTCGTCTAACGTCCTCAACTCGGAGAGACCAGGTTTCACAAGCATAGAGTAAAACTGCTCTCACCGACGCGTTGTAGATCCGACCTTTTACGGCCAGACTAACATCACGAAGGCGCCATAGATGGCCCAGATTGGCATAAGCCGCTCTGGCTTTCACTATACGTGCATTGATCTCATCACTCACACCCCCACCAGCACTTATGCAGCTACCCAGATACACGAACTTCTCGACTGCGTCTATCTGCTCACCATCCAGGGTGAGTACAGGATTGGAATCCTGCCAGTCTTGTAGGAGTACTTTGCACTTCGAAGGTGCAAAGCACATACCATACCTACGGACACTGATTGCCAACTGATTAAGTGCGGATTGCATGCCTTGGGCATTATCGCACAGTAAGACAATATCGTCCGCATACTCAAGGTCGAGAAGTCTTTCTCCAGGCAACAGATCCACACCACCATTACTTACATTCATCAGAGCTGTTTCCAGAATGTCATCGATGGCAAAGTTGAAGAGGAATGGTGAGATTGGGCAACCCTGCCTAACCCCACTACTCGAATGGAACAATGGAGAAAGGTGGTTGTATGCCCTCACTCTGCCTGAGGTGTTTTTATATAGGGCTTTTAGGATGTTAATAAACTTCTCAGGCACACCCTTCTTCAATAGACAATCCCAGAGAACAGTCCTAGCCAACAAATCGAAGGCAGCCCTGATGTCAAGAAACACTACGATTGTTGGCCTTTGATAAGTATGGCGGTGTTCTAACATTTGGCGGAGGGTGAAGATATGATCAATACATCCTCGACCAGAACGAAACCCAGCCTGCTCCTCACGAGTCAATCTTTCTCGGGTTTTGAACAACCTACGAAGTGTGACGGAAGCCAATAGCTTGGACGCAATCGGAAGTAGACTTATCCCCCGATAGTTGTTACAGGAACGACGTGAACCCTTTTTAAAGATAGGGACAACTATCGACTCATTCCATGGCGTTGGCACACTCTCTAGTTCCCAAACCTTTGTAAACAACGTCGTCAATTCCTTAGTCAAAAAGTCACCACCATCTTTAAAAAGAGCCGGAGGTAAGTCATCTGGGCCAGGTGATTTGTAACGCCTCAAGAGTTGGAGTTCCTTGCGGACTTCCTCCTCGTTTGGTGGATCAATCGCCACCGGCCATGGAGGGCAGGACAGTCTGACCGATGTTGCCGGAGCAGCAGGCCAGTTGAACTGCCCTTCGAAAAATTCTGCCCTCCGTCCAAGATGTCGATGGATGTTAGTGATTGGCATCCCATCATCCTCGCAGATTGTTTCACTCACACCAGACTTCTTGCTGCCAATGGCTCGGATGAGCTGGAAGAGCTTCCGGTAATTACCAGATGCAGCTGCTGCTTCCAGCTCATTAGCACGCTTCGACCACCAGGCTTCTCGGTCCTTACGCAAGCTTTGCCCAATTTCCTTACATAACATCCTTCGTTTATGGTCAAACTCACGGTCACCCGGAGTAGACCGACGGGCTTCAATGAGTTGTAAGGAACCAGAAGAAACCCAGTGCCTATAGGTGGGACGTTTCGCGAATCCACAACTGACTGTACCCGCCATTTTCATGGCGTCATGCAATTGCAACCAATGCTCATCTATACTTTTTGGTGGAGTGGTAGCTAGCCTAGAGGCTAGCTCGGTTCGATACTTATTTGCAACAGAAGTTGCAACCAGCTTGCTAACATCAATCTTTTGGTGGTGGTCACTTCGTTGGCCACTGAAAAGTAAGGCAAGATTGGCGCAGACCAAGGCATGGTCAGAGTCCAGATAGGTACTCCAAAAGGAGCGGCAGTCTTTTACACAACCACGCCAGCGGTAGCTGATCGCGATGTGATCAATCTCAGTCCAGGCTTGGGATGCAGAGGGAGGACGCCAGGTGGCACATCGGCGATGACTGTGCCGAAAGTTAGTGCTAGCCAGAAACAGGTTGTGGTCTGTGCACAGTTGCAGTAGACGGTCCCCGTTATCTGACCTGCGACCAACGAGTCCCTATCGGCCACCTAAACGACTCTCTTCTGTGCCTAGACGCCCGACCTGAGCATTCAAGTGTCCGGCTAATACTACAATATCTGTCGAACGCACTTTCTGGAGAAGAACTGATAACTGGTGGTAAAACTCATCCTTGATTGCATCCGGGCTGCAATCTGTCGGGGCATAGGCGGAGATGACGAAAAGACATCGTTTCTCACGCCGATTTCTTCTCACTTTGATGGAACTTTCTAATCTAACAGCACATAACCGACTGTTAATGGGGATCCAATCGACTAGTGCTGCCTCAGCTCTAGCGCTTAGTGCGACACCAACGCCTGCAAGACCAGACGAAGATGCCACAGGGTCCCCGGATAAGCGCACGTAAAACAAGCTTTTTGAAGTGACAGATGTAGAGCGAATTTGTAGTACTTCGCTAGAGTCTTGAATACGGGTCTCGGATAGACAACAAACGTCGATATGAAGACTTTCCAAAAACATAGCCAGCCCTATCTGTTGACCAACCTGCATAAGTGTGCGAACGTTGAAGGCAGCCAGTTTGAATGGCGCACGTGGTTTCAGAAAAGCTGCTTCAGTACTCATATTCGATGGTAACATACAACTTTCAACGGGACAGTGACTCGAGAACGTTTAGATACAGTCGGATTTCCACCAAAGACGAGACGCTGTATAAGTATAAAAGAGGGTGAATAATGTGGGAAATAATAATAATAATAATAATAATAATAATAATAATAATAACGACAATAATAGTAATAATAATAGTATTAATAATGACAATAATAGTAATGATAATTATTTGAATCGACTGATTGTTTTTCGGAGCGAGAAAAGTAGTTGCCAAAGACATAGAGTTCATCGTTTGTGTGTGGGCTGTGATACTGCCCGGGTGCCCAAACCGAAGCAGGTGGTTTTCTTAGGGGGCCAATCCCCGAGCCTTTGACCTAAAGGTCTAACCCACAAGGCAGTGGAGCATCGTAAGAAGATGCAATCCCATGGTAGCCGCTGACCAAAGATTGGTTCATACGCCATTTGTTCCCGCAGGATACTGGAGCCCATGTGCACCATTGGTTTGTGATCCGGTTAAAGCGCCGAACATTCGCTTTTCGTCCTCTCATTTTCGTAAACAACACCCCCGCCACGAGAAGGCAATGAGTAGGACTTCCCTGGCAGAGGCTGTATACGCGCGGCCGTGTGAGAGTATTTCGAGAGGGAGAGCGGACTCACCCCACTCTCGGCCGTACCAGGGCATTCGGGGAATGAAGAATTTCAAAGATAACCAAATCAAGAATACAGGAGTGCAGAATTGTAACAATGTTGATCGTGGTCACCCACACTTGCTTACAAGCGAAAATAAACGGCTTTGGTTTTCTAGGCATATACTAATTCCTTTACAAGACCGTAGAGGAGTTATTTGAATGAAATTGTAGTAATGCTATAACATTATCACAGGAAACTGACAAGCCACTCCGCTTTTAAATACCCCAAGAGGAACCGTAGCAAGTCATGGATGGAAAAAATAAAATATCCAAATACATTTCCTAAATATATCTTCGAGGCATTTCGCACACTTGTGACCAAAAGTACTAGCATTGGATTTATTAGTTACACCGCATCGTTCATCATAAAATGCACTTTATGTTACTAAGTATATTACACTTTTAAAAATCTATTATCTCGTGCTCGGTGTTTTTCTGTCCGAAGCTGGCAGTGTCGCTAACACAATATGCTTTCAACTAAGTACATAATAAGTTGAGTCCTTACTGATCAAGTGTATGAACTAGAAGATATTTAAAGTGATATGATTCAGGAATTTTGACCCAAGTTCAGCTCATTTGAATGACATTCCAAACAGTGATCACTAAAAGACGTTTTTAATTATTTGAAAACAAGTACATGTCATACAGCCAATACAATGCTAACACAGTTAGACACGATAGACGTCTTCAGATGTAGATGTGTTGACTGTGATTGTGAACTCTGGAGGTGATTTCATAAGTGATCAGTCCTGTATAGGAGGAATAAATATGACACCAACATTAAAAGCCATTATTGAAGATAAGACAATCCGACATAAACTTTTACTCCGCAATCAGACAACTGCTATAACAATTCTAAAATATTCCCAGCATGTTGAGCAAAAAATCAATAGTTCAAATGTCCTTAATACATAGGAAGTATGAAATTTAGCTAAAGTTACTCAAGACTTAGTAGCTTGACCATGGAATGGAAAGCAATTGAAATTTTAGTGTCTCAACTTATAGTGATATGCAGATTCACTATCTAAGAGAAGCAGAGACAGGTGTTTGATATGATGAGTGATAAAACGTTCGGGTAGTTTCTAAGGAAGACAAATGAAAGTGATGATCAGTAGTCGACAGTCCCATCAGAGACCAGACCTACAATTTCTCGCACTACTGAATAAGTTTAATTAGAAGACTTTTAACAAAGTAATTTGCTTAACGAGGACCACTTTTTGGAATGACCATAACTATAAAGCTCAGCTGACGGAATCGCATCCTTATGTTAATGGATTCCAAGTGCAGTGTTAGGGGCTGCAATTGATATACGGAAGTTACTTAAATACTAGTGGGTGAAGTAAAATCTGTCTCCAGTGTCGGCTTCAGTCTCATTCATTAAACCTCTGGGCCGGAAAAAATTTATAATTGCCCGTTTTATTTAACAAACTAGAACTTTATCAAATATAAATGCTCAAAAGAACAGGTACTTGAAAAACGTTTCGGTGGACAAAATCATAAACATAATTCTTCAAATTTCCATTTAGGCGCGGAAGAGCTGTATGACAAAAGAAACTTTATGTTGCAGAAACCCCAATCAATGCCAAGATGGTTAGGTATTCGCGAAAGTTTCGCTTCGATGTCAAGTCATGCAGCTAGACTTAAGTTAGTATTCAGGATACAGCCCACGCGACCTCAGATATTGTGAAGGTTCATTGAATGAGAATACAATTGAGGACAATATAAACGTATCTAAACTACTGACTAATATAACAATTTCCTACCTTTTCTGTTTTCGACTGACAGATTTACATGACATATAAGACTAATCCGTAGTCAGATTTTTGTGGTGTTTAGGAAATATCTAACTGACTTGGTACTTGCTATCGGGAAACCGCGGATTGGACGACGCAATTAAGAATAAAATGATAGATAAGGATTTGTCTGAGCTTCAAAATACATCAAAATGATACATGAATACTTTTTAAATGATTCGCCTAAAGTCAGGCTTAATATTTAAATTTTCATAAATCGAACCAACCAATTAGTCAGTAACTTACTGTGTGGACACGCATTTACATACTATCTGATTGTGCTTACCAAATTGCGATTACCAATAGCCGTCGAGAAATGGTAGCTATTGGAGTTAATTTCGCCACCCTATTTAATATAACTAGTTAGATACACATGTTTGACTGGAAGATGTCAGACGCTCCTGTTTGTTACTAATTGCAAGTGCAAATATACGAAAGGTTTTCGAAACAAAAATATATTAATGACTAATTGAACTAAGTGAAGCATCGAACTCATTGGGGCGGATGTAAACCGGAGTAAAATTCGACCGGACAGAATAAGTCAATGCAATAAAACACTTATTTTCAGATGTGCTGAGAAAGCCTACGGATGCAGGAGGATGGGATAGTCCGATTTTCTTGAAACAACCTACTATGAACCCACCTAAAAGATGGGAATGAGTGTGATCTGATAATGATTTAAAACGCTTATTCAATTTTTCGAACTCTGCGTGAAAAGATGCATGGTGGAACTCGAGTTAAAAACTTGGTTCCGATAACTGAAGATGTATGGTTTCTGGAAGCGTAAAACAATATATATTGCGTCTCAAATTATTTTGAGAAGGTGCATGGAAATGTTGGTCAAACCAAACTGTTCTAAACTTTCGATGACGTGACAACAGATATATCTGAAGACCTATTCACACAATCAAGAGACCTTTTAAATATAGGTAGTCGGTTTGTACTACCACTCAACACTTAGCACTCACAGCAGCTGAGAATCCAAACATGACAAGGTCAGAGTTTGTCTTCGGCGCTGTGTTGGATACGCAGCAAATGGCATGAACCAACTTCAGATCAGTTCTTTGAACATATGCAGATCTAATATTCTAAATCTTTGCAACAAGCTTATATAAACCAATTGATTTCTTTTTTCGCGTTTCTTGTTATTTCTATATAGTTCAATGTCTTGTGATGTCCATTGATTCAAATGGCTGTGGACGGAATAGAAGAAGCTTTCGCCTAACAGGCTTCTGTGTCTAGTAGCAGGGTATCACGAACAACTCCAGGCAGGAACCTAGGTATGTTAACAATAAAAGAGGAAAAAGAAATTGGTAAGTCATAGTATGATGCTGTCCTTGGTCCTTAAGAATAGGTCAAGTTGCATCTTGAAAGACTCCTGGGAAGTCGTTTGAACTAGCTCGGCCGGCGGCGAATTCCAGCATTTGACAACTCTTAAGAAGTAGAAGTTGTGTCTACAGTCCGTTCTGCTATATTGTGTCTCCAGTTTTTGGGTGTTACCTCTTAGGTTAGTGTTGGAACTAAGCCCAAGTAGGTTGTAGCGGTAAATAAATCCCCAAAATAAATAGCACTACGTTTTCGACATTGGATGCTGACCATGTGTTTTAGTGGACTCACCTAGCTGAAGGCGCTCGGTCATGCATCCGCACCAGATCACGTGTGGTAACGATGTGCTCAATATCTACCACAATCGCCAGCCAGATTAGATCAGGGAATTCCGACATATTGGTAATCGCCAAATACACTCTTCCGATCTCCTCGACTCTGTCTTTTGATTTCTCTGGGTGGGAACGAATTATATTAGATGTTACTGGTAAAAGCGTTGTCAAACACTGAATACCTGTATCACCTGCATTGGTGAGACTGACGTGATCTGGTACACCTAATTGCAACTGTGAGTCTGTTCCTTTTTGGGATTTTTATATATCATTGCCTTATTTTTTATTTTTTAAACATTGTGATTTTTTTTCGTGTTTTTTCTTGGATATATATATTTTTCCCCTCGTTCATTATCGTACTTCATATTTCATCATGACTGAACAGACACCCAAAGTACTCAGGCTTAAGACTTTGTCCCCGCCTTCGTTTCAACTGATGCCTTTCTGGCCCGACAATATCGAACCCCACGTAAAAGCATTTCACGTAAGCGATCTGTCTCTAGACCACGAGAGACGGACAACCCCGACTGATGCTGGTATCATAACCAGTATGGAAAGTCTTCCAGAAATTGCAGAAAACCCTGCAATTTTCACAACACGAAACCGACTGACTCGAAAGACAACTCGGGAAACTCCCAAGCCGGCACGCGTTAACGGCAACCGTAACCGGCGAACATAGCCGTCTGTTGTACGTCACCAATGTGACAACGAGAGTTCGCTACCTCGTCGACACTGGCACAGAAGTTAGCGATCTCCCAGCAAATCCTAACGACCGGCTTCACGAATCGGCTATAAACTTACAGGCGGCAAACGGAAAACCTATCGCTACGTATGGCAAAAGGTACGTTTACCTTAACGTGGGTTTACGCAAACCCATTCACAGGATCTTCGTTGTTGCAGATGTTTCTATGCCAATCATTGGTATGGACCTTCTACAACACCATAATCTGATCATCGATATGCGCGAACGGAGGCTAGTAGAAGGAAACACTAATTTGTCCGTTTGCGTAACTTCTTTTTCTAATTTCGAATTATTCCCAGTCAGAATTAAGCATACGATAGACCCACTTTATCAACCACTACTCGATAAGTATCCTGGGATTCAACAAACGCAATCGAAATTACCGTGTGTAACCAGCAACGTTACACATCACATCACGACTACAACGACTAGCTCCTGAAAAGCTAAGGTTAGCGAAAAACGAATCCGACCACATGATAGACTTAGGAATCATACGACCGTCAAACAACCCATATGCATCTCCGTTGCACATGGTCCCTAAAAAGGACAGCAACGATTGGCGTCCAACTGGTGACTATCGGCGATTGAATGCGAAAACCATTCCCGATCGTTACCTGTTGCCCCACATTCACGATTTGACAGCTACCTTGGAAGGTACAACTGTCTTTTCAAAAATCGACTTGGTTAAAGCGTATAATCAAATTCCCATGGCCACTGACGACATACCGAAAACAGCTATCATTACTCCCTTCGGACTCTATGAATTTTCGCAAATGCCTTTCGGTCTAAGGAACGCTGCGGAAACATTCCAAAGGTTCATAGACGACGTTTTTCGAGGTCTCAACTTCGTACATGCGTATGTTTATGACTGCCTAATCGCAAGTCCGGACAGAGAATCACATCTCAAGCATCTGGATCTTGTTTTCGATCGACTACAAAAACATGGCATTACTGTAAACGTTCAGAAATGCCAAATTGGAACCGACTCATTAAACTTCCTAGGACACACTATAGACGCTCAAGGCATTCGACCCCTTAGGACCAAAGTGGCGGCAATTCTGGATTACCCAGAACCAACCATGATCAAGCAACTACGAACGTTTAACGGCCTTGTAAGTTTCTATAGACGATTCGTACCTAAATGCGCTTTACTCATGAAACCTCTAACCGACCAACTTCGTGGAAATGCGAAATCCATTAATTTGGACGACACCGTACGTAAAGCATTCTTCACAATTAAGGAACTTACTGCTAAAGCAACAGTGCTTGCACATCAGGACACTCGAGCACCCATTAGTATCGCAGTAGACGCATCCGACTCAGCAATCGGAGGAGTCTCACAACCATGGGTTAACAACTTCTGGCAGCCATTGGCATTCTTCTCTAGGCGGCTGCTAGACACCGAGTCAAGGTACAGCACACTCGGTAGGGAACTCTTAGCTATGTATTGTGCTGTACGACATTTTCAACACTACATGGAACGTCGTGAATTCACTCTTTTCACTGACCATAAACCACTCACTTTCTCTCTAAGCTCTACTTCAGACAAGTACTCTCCTCGTGAGTCTCGACAACTAGACTACATTTTGCAGTTTACTTCAGACGTCCAACACATTTATGGAGCAAACAATGTAGTTGCGGACGACTTGTCTCGCATAACTTCCTTGAACAGTTTCCAAGGAATCGACCTTCTTAAACTCGCAGAGCTTCAAAAAGAAGACACTGATCTTCAGCACGAGTTATCATCTACAACCCTTAAACTACGCATCAAACAGGTGGGAACAGGTAAGGAAACCTTACTGTGTGACATATCTACAGGTAGGGCTCGATCAATCGTGCCGAAACATTATCGACGCAACGTCTTCAATACATTGCACAAATTTTCTCATCCAGGTGTTCATGCAACCATCAAGCTTATAGCAGAACGGTTTCGCTGGCCTGGCATGAATAGAGACGTGAGGGCGTGGGCAAGCTCCTGTGTGAGCTGCCGAAAATCTAAGGATATCAGACACAATAAATGTCTCTTAGGCTCGTTTAAAACTCCCGATGCTCGTTTCGACCATGTTCATCTGGATTTGGTAGGACCTTTACCAGATTCAAGTGGATACTCTTATCTCTTAACCTGCGTAGACCGTTTCACTCGACGGCCAGAAGCAGTACCTATCAAGGGCATCATTGCTGAAACAGTGGCCCGCACCTTCGTCGAACGATGGGTAGCAAACTTCGGCTGCCCTTCAACCATCACTACAGACCGCGGACGACAGTTTGAATCCGAACTTTTCCGTCGTCTGACCACACTTTTAGGAATCACTCGCTTCCGAACGACCGCCTACCACCCACAAGCAAACGGGTTGGTAGAACGTTTTCACCGACAGCTAAAAGCTTCGCTATCAGCTGCAAACGTTTCACAGTGGATCGACGCTCTTCCACTTGTCTTACTAGGTATTCGCAATGCATTGAAAGCCGAAATTGGGTACACTGCGGTTCAACTCGTTTATGGAACGACACTTCGACTTCCAGGAGAATTCGTTGATCCTTCGTCCTCTTCAATGAACATGGATCTAACCTCCTACACGAACAGGCTTACAAACGCAATTCGTTCAGTTAAACCTGCTTCCACTCGACCACAATCAACCGATGTTTTCGTTCAACCTGACTTACGATATAGTACACACGTTTTCGATCGTCGAGAATCGCACCGACGACCATTCGTATCAGCATACGAAGGACCTTTCAAAGTTCTTCAACGTGAATCTAAGTACTATATAATCGATGAGAACGGAACAAACGACAGCATCAGCATCGATCGCCTCAAAGCAGCGTATTTATAAGGAAGTCATATTCACGTCGGTTCCCCTTTCGTACAATCGCACAACACGACTCCTACACTCATAATTCCTCAACCGACAACCAACACTGGCGACGATACTCCGAATGTATCTGAGAATAAACTGAAAACGACGCGTTCTGGAAGAAGAGTAAGATTTCCAGACCATTTAAACGACTGCTGCACGTAGGGCACTACTCGACATTTTATATTATCTCGATCTTTCTTTTTACGATATATAATATTTTTTAAAAAAACAATTTTAATATGCTTATGTATTTATATTTTTATTTAAAAAAATTATTTTTTTAACGCTATTATGTGTGCTTGAGTTTATCTTCCATTTTTTCGCCGACATTGTGTTTTTACGCACATACGAGTGTATTTTGGCATGCATTTACATTTTCATTTTTTCTTTTCCAGTACGGCTGGAAAAGAACGATGACGTTTATGAGGATCCGAAATTTTCATTGTACATTTTCTTTTTTTACTATGTTGTACCTCCGTCCCATATAGTAAGGAAAGACGACCAGACGCTGCTAAATTTAGTAGGCTATCAGAAGAGTGTTTACCAACGACAAACTCGTTGGGTGTAAACTTCTGGCTGGCCACGTCTTAGGGTCGTCACTGCCCCACTAGGGGAGGGGGAGTGATCTGTAGCCGTAAATAAATCCCCAAAATAAATAGCACTACGTTTTCGACATTGGATGCTGACCATATGTTTTAGTGGACTCACCTAACTGAAGGCGCTCGGTCATGCATTCGCACCAGATCACGT